ATAGGTGTTGGCTTAATCCCTGCTCGAAAATTCCTTTTTTCACTGTTTTCTTGATGGTTAAAAACACGTTGTAGTCATTACAGCATTTGTTTTTTCACAGTAGCTGACATTTCTGCGGTTTATCTTTTTTCAGGACTTGGAACGGTCAAACTAACTTTCAGTCTAATCAGCCAAACACTCTTATAACCTCAACATACAAAACTTAACGCATAAATTTGCACTTGCATAATGAACAGCTTCTTTTAAGAATCCACCGTTTCGTTCCTTGTAAGTCTTCCAGTTATTTGTTGGAAGGCAACTAAATGGGCGAGGAATACGGCTGGCTTGGGTGAAAGAATCGGCCTGAGCAGTGGCGCGAGGTCGCGCATGATCACAAGGCACTCCTTATTATGGTTCATTTTTGAATTTTCTAAACTTATCCAAACCGCTTCACGAGTTTAACGCGCAGATACGTTGAATTCCTGCGTGAGGATAATGACTTCTGTGTTAATGTCTTCTCTATTATGTCTCTGTGTAGCGTGGTAACCAGCTAATATTCGACGAAAGAAAGACCGCGAGTACTATCGAGAGTACGCTGATTGAAATAGTCTTGTAGCCAGGGCTGTGGTGCTGATTAGTAGATTGAAAAACCACTGTAAGCGTGTGGAAAGTGTTGGTAGAAAACACTCTCCACAAAATAACGAAAGTGGGCTATCATTTATCACACCTTCACAAATTCATTGTCAAAAAATTTGGTGAATTCCGGTTCCAGAGATCTTCAACAGTAAATCTTTATGCGCAACGATCACTACTCGTTTAGTACGCGAAGAAAATTTGGCTGCTGCAAAGCATGAAAGAGTGGCGATGAGGTGGTATTAAGTGCAACATAGTTATGTCTGTGTCGTTTTCTTGTTCAGCAATCGCGAGGTTTTTAAACAGCATACATTTACTTCCATGAAAAACACAATACAATACAACGCTAGCTGACGTTTCGGCAGTATCGCCTTCTTCAGAGCCGCTTTTTTCGTGACTTCCAATGAGGAAGTTTAGAACAGCTGATTATAGTCGCATGTGGTTGACGACTGCACCATCCCACATCCTATTATTTGTCACACCTTCACAAAATGTGGGATGGTGCAGTCTTCAACCACATGCGACTATAATCAGCTGTTCTAAACTTGCTCATTGGAAGTCACGAAAAAAGCGGCTCTGAAGAAGGCGATACTGCCGAAACGTCAGCTAGCGTTGTATTGTATTGTGTTTTTTATGGAAGTAAATGTATGCTGTTTAAAAACCTCGCGATTGCTGAACAAAAAAACGACACATTCATATTCTAATGCCGAGGTTAAGAGAAAGTCGATCATAGTTATGTCTAGTTCGGACTGTTACTCCATAAATCGCCATTGTCCTGGATGAATCCGAGTCGCATGTGAGCAGAGCTCCCTCTCATCCAGAAATGCGGGTGACGACTCGATATTCTCGACTCAATGATGTCGCTTTGCTCAAGACAATGATAAGTCAAGGGCATGGAATCCTTCCAGGAGAAACAAATAGACGCCCATTTTCAAGTCATTCTACTGACTTAACTCTTTTATTTACTGCCTTTTTCTTCTTAATGGCAGGTTATGATTCGAATTATAACTCGTATGAAATGCTGAGATATTTGCAAAACTCCGGACCACAGGCGTATGCAGTGGAGAACGAACACGCGCTGTTGTCCTTACCGGGGAGCAGCGCACTTCACCGATATTGGCTCCCCAGATCAATCCCGTTGACGGGTGATTGCTGATGGCAAAAAGATCGATAGAACTAGCTGAGAGACATGCAAAGCGAAGGACCCGGATGGTGTAGTGGTGAAGTGCGCTGCTCCCCGGTAAGGACAACAGCGCGTGTTCGTTCACCACTGCATACACCTGTGGTCCGGTGTTTTGCAAATATCTTAGCATTTCATACGAGTTATCATTCTACTGAGTCTCACATGCGTGCTGACTGTAGCTTTTCCATAGTTCACTAAACACGGTTTCATGACAAGCTACTAGACATACTATGATAGATCATCTATCTGGCTTCTTTGAACAAATCTCTTTGGTTGTAGCTTTTGTAAACGTACGACTCTGATGAGTCGGAGGAAAGTTTCGCGTCACTAAGTGTGGATATCATAATAATCTCCTGCTTAACTTCCTAACTTCCTCCGTCGACACCATGAGTCAGCATCGGTTCTATTCATTGTTCTCTCACCATCTAAATGTAATGGATCTCATTTGGAAGTCCTTTCGTTTTTTTTCCACGTATGTCGATAAGAAGTGCCCTTTCTACTAAGAGTTATTGGGAAACCGACATTACTCATTCCAACGAAGGCTTCTATATCCTTAAGAATGATATGTTTTCATAAAGCTCAGTAATGAATGTTTCATTTTTTAGCTCTTTATTATGCAGCAAATGTATCATCAAACGCAACGTATATGTAACACAATGTCTCCAAAGTCTACTTTCGTTTAACCTCTGCAGAAATAAATTTCGTTTAATTCGTTAGCTTACAGGAGATTGGTTGTGACAAAACTTGATTACGTACACAACGGTTGTTCCTTGCGATGTGGGTCTTCGTAGTCAGATAGAGTTGAATCTATTGCAGTGGAACACCACATGAATGGAGTCATCTCACTCGACAGTGACTTTCCATACAGGACGATTCTTGACTGATTGTCCAGTGAAAATGACTTCTTTCGATGAAGATAATCCATCCAGCAAAAGTCGGTATATTATTTGGTACAATGAGGAGTAATACTTTTTAAAAACTCACCTTCGTCCACTACCGGCATGAATAATGGATAATTTGTTGTATCTTATCGTATTTGAAAAAAAAAATATTTGGAAAATGTTTACAGGATTAGCGTGAAGAAACACGACTTTGAGGAACTGGATGTACCAAAACACGTTCGATGTCAAAATGTGGGATGCTCATTACTCGTTTTTCCAGCTAACGACCCGGCAATGAAGTTTGCTTAACGAATGGTGGTTGAATGCGAATCAAATCGTTCCCACCAAATATAAGGAAATACGAATGTACCTACCTACCATAAATTGCGACAATTTTAAAGTGTCTGCTGTCCTATATGTTATAACTTCCATGGTTTCCTCTTAACATAGTAGAGAACACAGTAGAGGACTTTAACTAGACCGATACAAGTGATAACGCAGAAATGTCAACTAAAAACTTCAATTCAGGACCTTCACGACAACTCTAGTATCTCGATGATATTAACACATAATGACGTGTACGATGATTTTAGAAAAGTCGAAAACCTCTAAAGAATCAAGGAGGCCGAAATAAACATTATCACACGATTGCATTATCATGTTTTTGTAAGGACGATATAAAATTCCATAAGTGGTACCTCTAAGACGTAATAAAATGGTAGTTAAAAGTATCACCAGAAATTATAAGATCTATTTCAGCCTAGAAAGGAACACCGCGTACCTTTGTGCGTCATCACTACCGAAATCACTTGACCACAAACTGTAGAGTTTCAACAATATAACTTGTAAAATCTTTATTCTTTAACCATGAAAATGAACATTGGAGTAAACTGATATATATATACAGACTTACCCAACACCATGGGTGGAATAATTGCCACAATAAAAGCGGGACTTTTGGTGGAAAAAAAATTGACGAGATCTTTTCTAACATATCTCGTTGAGATAAATAAAAGGACATGTACATGAGGTCAAATAACCGTGGGAACTTTTAAAAAATGGAAGACATTGACAATGATTAAATGGAGCAGGTACTGTAAAAGACTAAATGAAAGGAGTCATATGGTACATGATACGCTCACAACATAAGCTCGTCCATCTCTGGAATGCAGAATTATGAATCAACAACAACAATCCTTGAAGGTGAAGTGAAAACTAATCTGAACATTTCAGCAATAACTCAGTTCCGTAAGTCATTCGTTGGATTTCCGGTTGGTGTTCCAATAAAATTAAAAATACACTTTAGAATAGAATGAAAGCCCTAAAAAACCAGGTCTTCAAAAACTGCTGGCGAATTTTAGACAAAATATTTGTGGAGTTGAAAACTGGACGGATTTGCAGAAAAGAGTGCCCCCCAAGAGTAAATATGATTAACCAACCACTGCTAATATCCTATTTTTAAGGTTCTTTAGGAACACAACTGAGAATTAAGTTAAGGACAACAATTAAATTTGAAAAATTCCTGGTGGAAAACTGGAAGCCGCAAACATCAACGATGTATTCGAGGATATGGACACACTGCTGGAAGAAATACCGTTTGTCCAAATATTTCCTCCTTGAAACACGAGCCCAAATGAAGAAAAAAAAGAGAAAAGTAATTCCCAACATTGATTTTCCATTAACCTCGGCACTCATCACTAATTCGCTCTTTTTTTTGATAAGCTCACACGATTCTATCGTACCATTTATTAACAATAGTTGATGTTTCGGCAGATTTCTGACTTAAAGATAAAAGGAAATACAATGTTTCGCTTCCAGGAAACCAAAATTCCAGCGTAGTGGAACAATAAGACAAAAAATAGAACCCAATGGCTTTGCTTCTATTAATAGAGTTCAATATGAGATGAGATATAGTGGAACAAAACTGAAAGCAGCCGTTTGTTTCCCATGGTATGAATAGAAATCAATTCATTTGAGATCCTAAATTTTTAAAAAGAAAACTTTACTCTGTGCATCAGAAAACATTGCTTAATTTAAACCAAAATAATGAGGGCAATCCATTTCAGCTTTCCATTTTCTGGTTTAGAAATCAAACTGACCAATAAGAATGTTTATAGTGGAAAGTGGAAGCATGAATAGGGTTTTCCTAATCGTCTTATTAAAAGCGAAACAGTTTGAATTTACAATAAACTTGGGACCGTTCTGACTCTCTCAAAAAGTAACGTGGCTTTCGTGTAAGAATCAGAGTAAATCATTAAGAAATACTCTGAGCAGAATAACATGCTGAAAGTAAAGATATTAAAGGCACTGACTATGTATGGATGTTACGTAGGTTGCTGCTGAGCTTGGGCGCGATACTCATCAGTGGAAACATACATGTATTGCTCAGAAATATTTGGCAGCTCATGTGGCTGAAGAAGCCGACATTTCCGCAATCGTTTCCACTCACCACTTTGGTAATCCATCTGCAATAATTCCTTACTACTAATTTTACTTTATGCCAGACGAATGCTGAAAACATCGTACGTCCCGTAATATTCTTTGGCTTCGCTCAATCGTTCGATGTGTAATTAAACAAAAATCGCCAGTTACTGGGTAAAACAAAAGTGTAATTTTGTAAATTATTAGAATTACTACAACTTGAATTGGACACATGTGAAGTACTGACGCTTGGGGATGTTAGACAGAACAAACTTTATAAGACGTAATGCTCTCTATATGAGCAAAAATTTAAGAAACTAAGCGCTAGAAAGCAGTGGGTTAGAATCAGCTTAAAAGTGCAGGAAACTGGCAGATGTGCAATTTCTGTTCACCCATCCCATCAAACTATCATCTAATTTGGGAATGTTGCAAGATATCTTCACACTTGATAGATTTAATCTTGAATAGATGCATCAATTTAACTGTAACAAGGAATTTAAGATAAAGACACGTAGTCTACTACAGACTACTTTTCAAGCGCCTCAAATGCAGCGCTGTGATAAAAATACGTTTGTGGCTGATAATTGTGTCCAGAAGTTACGATGGCGAATTCTTGCCAAAATGGTCTGGTGTTTTCCACACTGCTCTAGACGCCATCAAGAAATGAATATTTACAAGAAACGCACATGCACGCAAAGGATGCGTGTGGTGTAGTGGTAGGAGGCGCCTTGTAACACATATGGGATCGATCTCCGCGCTACTGGCTCACCAACCCCAGCATTCCTCCGGGGTCGGCAAATTGGTACCAGACTTGTCTGGGAGGATAGCAGCACTGGTTCGATACATCGGTGGCCCATCGTGAGTCATTGTAAAGGCGGTATATGCATTCAATCACCTCCAAACGATGCTTAGTGAAGTCAAATGCCTCAGGGATTGATCAATGCCGAGAAATTTTTTAGTTCTTACCGGAAATACTTCTGTGATGTTAAACAATGAGCAAATAAAGCAAGAAGAAATTGCGAGATTGCGCTGCTAGCTAGGACAAACCTGGAAAAACGTTTCAACCTTCATCTTGCAAATTTGATTGTTAGCAAGACCGTCTTCAATCGTCTCAGAAAGTTTCATTGTAATCACGTTACCAAGCTCAGGACGAGGATTACCTAAACAACGTGTGAGTTTATGCTTGTACAACAGTTTCTTAAGTAAACAGACAAACTCAATTTATCTGATCGAAAAACTCGACTTATTTAGTAAAAAAAAAAAGAAACAGGCGAAAAAGTAACAATGTCTTATGAACACACTGCGCTCCAGAAAGTGTGAACAGAGCTTCAAATACTGTGCCAATAGAAAAAGGAAGTACATTTGAACGGAGTAGGTAGTAAGCCTCTTTCTAATTCAATAAAAAAAATCATCGGCTGACACGAACTACCAATTAGCTTACACTTATTTCCAGTCATAAAAGCAATCACGAGTTGTCTGCCATTTTGATCAAGGGAATTTGCATCTCGAAGCATCTCATTACATTGGTTCATTATAGCTATCTCACGTGCCTTAACAATAGCTTGATATTTTCACTGGGAGGTAACTAACATATAGTGAACATTATAAAAGTAATATAACATCATATCCAAAGTAATGCATTTCTCAGCTGAAACTCACACGTTGTGCTACTGTCCTCTGCTCGCGCACAATTGCCGACTTGCAAACGGACCCAGAATATCCAGGTCTAGTAATCAAAGACGACTGAAAACATTGCGAAGATTGAACTATAGATCAGTAGACTAAATAAAAGCAAATGCATTTGACTCTGATTGGACATATTCGATGATATTCCCACATAACTCGTTCACCGCCTCATCGATATTGGGAGATGTTATTGGGTGTCGGGCTGCGATATACAGTGGGTGATTCATCTCCACAGCACAGTAAGCTGGGAAGAAGAACGGCGTTTCCATCAGGAAGCCCAGCTAAGAATAAACGAATACCAGGATCCGCCATCGTCGTGGTATCAAATTAGTCGCGTGGTGGCAAATCTTCCTTTGATCCACATGGACGGTGAGTGTTTGTGGTCGCGACGACCTTTAGCAAGACTGACTCCAGGGAACCACAATGGCTAAACGAACAAAGCTCCCAAAAATGGAGATTATGTTGGAGTTCGCACGTATCCAAGTACCGAAGTATTTCTACATAACAACAGTGAATTAGTATCCTAGACCATTTAAATAGCGACAAATTTACATGACAAATACAGGAATGAAATAGTTCTCAAACTTCGAAAACCAATAGCATCACTTAAATCCCATACAACTAGAAAAATAATTACTTACTTGATACTTGAATGGCCAACAACTCATTGGTTGTGCAGGCTCCAGCATAATCTCCATTTTTCGGAGATTTACAGGCTATGCCATTATGGTTCCCTGGAGTCCCGAGGTGAGCCTGGCCAAAGTCCGCCTCAGGTCTTCACCACCACGGGCAGTCGCAACCTTTGTGGATCCGAGGGAGATTTACCATCATGCGACTTTGACACCAGGACGGTGGTGGATCCTGGTATTGGTTTACTCCTTAGCTAGGCTTCCTTATGTAAACGCCGGACTCCTCAGCTTGGGAGACCTTGCCAGGGGATGAATCCCACGTTCTACATCGCATTCAGACACCCAGGAACACCTCCCAGCCACGATGAGGCGGTAAACCGTTGGGAGGGAAAAGAAAAATAATTACACTCCACGAATGAAAAAACCCACATGTTGCGCTAACTGAACAGGAAATTGTTGCTGCAGGTAATATGGTTGGTTGCGATGAAGATGATGGTAATTCTGAGACTGACTGTTCTGAACAGCACGTTGAGAAATAGGATCCAGAGGTTCATGAAACATGAAGACACTCTCAGGCACATCATTACGCTCCTGGTCTAGCTCCCACTTCTGTTCAGTTGGATATGCTGCTTGCAAATTTCCTGCATCGCCACTGGAAAACATCGACGGTGCAGATTTAAGCTGCTCAGCAGTTTCTGACACATTAGGGCAGCTGACCTAGAAGAGTGAGCACTTCAATTTGGAGAACTGAAAAATGAAATAAGGAGAAAGCCTACTTGTCCATCTCCATCGTTAGCTGATTGATTTTCCACACTTTCCAATCGATGTTTCTTTTCACACTGTCTTTTAGAATTCGCAAAATGTTTTGGTTGAGCTTCTTTTTTGGCTAGCTGAAATCAATAAATAATGGCCACTTCTCAAATTCACCAACATAATTACACTTTAAAATAAATCTTTGACTGTGGAACCTCCTTCTCTTTCTTCTCCTCCAACGCTTTTTTCCTCGCCATTTCTTTTTCCACCTGTTTTCGTTTTTTCTCCTCAATCATCTCAAGTTGACGACGTCGTTTAAGAGACTGTGGCAACTCGCAGATATCTAAAAGTAGTAATTGCTCGAACTAGGTAGAAAAATTTAGATTATTTGTGCCAAAAAAACTGAGCAATATTACTAACACTTTTGGTTACAAGACCCCTACCAAGCAATTTGGCTCCTCCTTCTCGTTTCATTAACTGCCTTTGAAACTTCTTGGGTTCATAAGTAAACCCAGAATTCAATTTGCATGGATTCTGAGTGCGAATCCCTTTCATTGGCACTATAAATAAATTTGCAATTACATATAACCCTTTATATTCATGAAGATTTGAATTCTTGTTATCACAGAAATTAGAAAAAAAGCCGCTAACAGTCATTGTTTCCAATTCGCAGAGTAGAGCGTATTTTAATCGGAACATTTGTACTCCACAACCCACTGTTTTTCTCTCGGTTCGCTTCGACCAGTTTTGCGCATTCTGAGGAGTAAGTGGTATAAAGTATGGAAACAAGCTATACATAGAAGTGCTAAAGTGCCGTTAAAGACATTAAGGACCTAATGTCAACAATACATAAAATAAAAAACATAAAGCTCTCGACGCTGATCAGCCCTTAAGCGATGCGCTACGCATTCGACTTCATCAAGTATCCTTGGAACTGAAACAATGCATACCTGGTCTTTACAATGACTCGCGGTGGCCTACCGATTTACTATCTCAGTGTTATCCACTGCTATCATCTGAGATAACTCTGGTACCAATTTTCCGAGCCCGGAGGGCCGGAAGGCTGGTGAGCCTTGGGAGCGGGGAACGACTCCATGTGTGCATTGCAGGGCGCCTCCGACCACAGCGCAACACGCGCTCTTTAGTATCCGAATCTGTCAGCAATACCAACAAATGAAAACAGGGAAGATTAACCAAAATGAATGTTAAATCAGCACATCAACTACACAATATTATGAACAAGTGAGAGCTTTAAAGCATTTGAGAATTTTCCTTCACATTGTTCAAAATGAAACCAATTTCAAAAAAGAAAAGAAAAGGATTAAACGAACGTTTCATCATGTCATTCATAAGCTTGAACGATTTCGGCTTTTTACGAAGTATGAAGAGTTTCTGAGGCTCTGGAGAGGCTCCAAAAATAGCCTAAACAATTATCGAAACCATCACCATCGACCAAACAATTAATCAAGCCGTATGTGATTCAAAACCACTTTTATATTAATATCAAAGGACAACCTGGAGAAAAAAGCTACCTTGTTGACTGAACCGCTAACAATATTATGTGCCTCAGGAGACAACTTCAAACTGCCGCTTTGATGATGTTTTTGAACTGAAAATGGTCACATGTGGCAAATGTCTATTGAATTCAAGTTTGTTCATCGAATTCGAACACATTTGAAATTAAGGATACGGTGGGGTTTGCCTCTCCACACATCATGCTTCTAACCACATTATGGTAATGAAGTTACCAACGGTTTACCGGTCATTGTGGATCGGAAGTGTTCCTGGGTGTCGGGCTGCGATGTACAGCTGGGTGATTCGTCCTCCGAGCATAGTCTCCCAATCCGAGGAGCCCGACGTTTACATCAGAAAGCCTAGCTAAGACTAAACCAGTACAAGGATCACCACCGTCCTGGTACCAAATCAGTCGCGTGGTGGCAAATCTCCCTCTGATCCACAAGGGCGGCAACCGCTTCTGGTGGTGACGACCTGGTGCAGACCATTGCTAGGCTGACCTCGGGACACCAGCCAGAGAAGCACAATAATTAAACCAGTAAAAACTCCGAAAAAATGGAAACTATACTGGGACCCATACAAACAGTGAAAATGAGTTATCCAAGTAATCAAGTATAGCAACGAAAAGATCAAAGAAATAGCCTGCCAAATTCTAGCATCGTAAGTCACTCCACATGTTTCTATCTCTCTCTATTGACCGAAATAATACAATAATTTATGCATTCGAAGCAGTCAAGGAATACGGAAATGACTTTGAAATGGTACCGCATTCATGATAAATCCATTTCCAAGTATGACACGACGAGTGATTGTGTCACCAAGCCCACTCAAGTTTCATCACCATCAAAAAGAAAGGAAAGACGGGAATCAGCAATAAGAGACCTTCTTGAAAATGACTGATCGCTCAAGTTGTGCAAAAAACATTTACTACGTGTATGAAATGGTATTTCATACTCTGCCGTAAAAAAATATGATAGGCAAGAAATAAAAGGTTAAAATTGTGATTTCGACTACACTCTCAACTTAACTGAGTTCAATGCCGATTTGTGCTCTCCAGCTCAATCCCGCTGACAGGTGATTGCTGATGGCAGTGTTAGATAGGACTAACTGAGAGAAAGCAAAGCGGAGCAAAGACCTCTGTGGTGTAACAAGCAGCGCTCGAGCTCCCGGAAAGGGTAACCGTAATTCGATCTGGCCTGAGGTCCAAGTTTTGTGAATATCTCAACACCATTTTGGTTGTATGAAATGCGTTATAAGATTATTGCTGCGATTGAACTCGGGTATCCATTCCATTAGACCTTGGTTAAAATATTATGCAAGCATACTCACATACTACTGCTGATTTAAGAGCAAAAATGAAGTGCAGGAGCGGTGAAAGAGTGAAACGACCTTGGATGCAATCATCGGCAACGTAAAACAAACGAACTTACAGCATTTCGTCATATCCTCCAATGCTTTGGCGAAATGAGAGTTTTTGCTAGAACAACTAGGAATAATAACTCCTGTTGATGGTATGTCCCTAGAATCTATGGCCTTCTTTTAAAGCAAACATATATTGCCTATAGATAATACAAAGCTCATAAGACTTGAAATTAAAGCGAATTTAAATACCTGTACATATCTGCAATAGTTTCAACCCAGTCATCAGCATCTTTACTAGCAAGTTCAAGCAATACAGTAATGCTGTTGTGTACCTAGAACGGCATTTCAGTAACATGCAATAAAGAGAAATGTACCGCTGACCAATGCACTGTTAACGAATAGTAGTCATATGCACACCAAACGTACTAATTTGCTGAGATTCCGAATATGCAAAGGTCTTCAACTATATCAACTACACCCAGAGAAAAAAATAGGGATCTCTGGTTGACCGATCTCTGAGGGATTCACCATGCATTCGACTTCATAAAGCATCGTTGGAGATCACTGAATGTATACCTGGCCTTTACAACGACTCGTGGTGGCTTACCGATGTGTTCAGCCAGCACTGTTGTCCTTCTAGACAAGTCTGGTACCAATTTGCAGCCCCCAGAGGTATAGAGGGCTAGGTGAGGTCTGGGGTGCGGAGATCGATCCCATGTGTATTGCAGGGAATGTTCAACTACATCTGAGAGACAGAAAACTGGAGATCGGTCTCTTATTCCTGATAGATAAAAATGAGAACTTGTCTGTGTATAACCTAAGAATGTCCGTACGCTTCTTTGAACAATATACCTGTTCACTAAGAGAAACAAGCAACACGGACAGCGAGATGAACGACCAAAACAGAAGTCTTAAAGAAACTAACCGTACTCATTTTCCGCGGATTCATATGAGGAATACAGGAAATGATTTTTAGCTTCGTCTGCATGTCAATAGCCTAAAATGATTGAAATCCACGGAGACAAGGACTTGGTGTTTTGGAGACAAGGTGAGCAGAGGACGAGTTCAGAGAAGACAAACAAGAAACCAACGACAAGACCGCGAAACCAGATTAACAAGGACCGACCTGGAAGCATGTCTCCAACTCCTCGAGCATTTCCCTTGTTAACATCGAAGCCGTAATACGACCAGACCAAACACCGGCGTCGTTTAGCTTCTTTTCTAGCCAATTCACCTTGAATCAAAATCAATGAACACAAAGCTAGAACAGCTAAAACAAGTAAACCAACACCAGGATGCACCATCGTCCTGGTATCAAAGTCGCATGGCGGCAAATCTCCCTCTGATCCACAAGGGCTGCGACTGCCTGTGGTTGTGAAGACCTGGGGCAGACTTCGGTCATGCTGACCTCGAGACTCCAGAGAGTCATAATGGCTTAACCAGCAAATCTCCGAAAAATGGAGATTATGCTGGGGCCCACACAACCAGTGAGAACGGGCCTTTCAAGCATTAACCAAAAACAAGTAATAGGACATGTGTAATAAATCGAAACTCACTAAATCCATATCTTTCAGTGATGAAGCTTGGTAAGAAGACGGGAAATGAACATTCCCTCTACTGGCATCCATTGTTCTCGCACTACTCGTGCTCAGAGTATAAACTGAAGAAAAAAGCCAATTTCTTCCACACAAAACACAATAAACGACACTAATACGTAATCTTTAAAACTGCTCTTTAACAGCATGGATTAAACAAATGAAGGGAAAACTCTACAGAAAAAAAAGGACAGCGCTTCATAAAGGTAACGGAGGATGTAACGGTCCGTCCTTAACGCCTACCGACTTCCACAAAAACGGTATTCTGAATAACGGCAAGGACGAAAACCGCATACAGACTAGAAAAAAAAATGTATAGTTAATTCCTAACAGTAAAAAAAATGAATAATAGCAACTTCATAACCATCTACTTCACTGGTTTTCTAGGTAAAATTTGGCGACGATCCAACTGCAATGGATCGGACGAGTTCCGGATGGCTAAAAGGGAATAATAAAGCGACCTAATGCGAATTTCCTGCTCCAATGCGACCGATTCCTCGGAGCTCTGGTTGTTACAGCTCCTCTTGTGAATAGAGTAGGAGCTGAGTTATACGCTGGGTATCCTTGATTACGGCTGTTTCTCAAATAGCGAGGCTCACACTATCCTTAGAGTGTTCACTTTTCTGACTCTTCTTATAACTTGTTAAAACTATTTTAATTCACGATTGAGTAGATAGAAATCCATGTTACAGATGAGTGGAATACTTCATTACTTCGATACCTGGATGGCCCGTCTCACTGTTTGTGCGGGCCTCAGCATAGTTTCCATTCTCCGGAGATTTGCTGGCTTAGCCATTGTGATTCCCTGGAGTCCCGAGGACAGCCTGGACAAAGTCTGCCCTAAGTCGTCACCACCACAGGCAGTCGACGCCCTTGTGGGTCAGAGAGAGATTTGCCACCATGCGACTAGTTTTGTACCAGGACGATGGTCGATTCAAGTACTGGTATTGGTTTACTCTTAGCTGGTTTCCTGATGGAAACAACGGACTCCTCAGCCATAGAGACCTTGCTGGAAGGATGAATCTCCCCGATGTATATCACAGCCCAACACCCAGGAATATCTTCCAGCCAAGAAGAGGCAGTAAACCGTTGGGGCGAACTTGATGATTAAGGGAATTATGGATGGTACAAGTGACGGATGGTCTAAAACAGTTAAAATAGGTTACTATTGTTGAACGATGGGTAATTACTGGGGATGAATGAATGTGAGGTAATTTCACAACGATTTTTGTGTCTGAGTCTGATGAAAACAGAATCTCATCAGGGCCGATGAAATGGATGATTTGATTAGAAATTGGATGAAATCGAAATCAATTTGGATGCCTGTCAAAACCAAGGATCAAGGACGATGTTTTATGACTTATTCTGTTCCAAACGATTGAATACGACGCGAATTCCTGTGGATCCGTGTAGTGGTTACAATTCTCAGCTTTTACAGTTCGACATTTGTCTGGATCCGTTAAAGAAAAGGCGGAACCCAGTTTAAGTGGCATTGTACCTTCATCCTTGTTTGCTAGCCTACTCCATAAGGATTGTAAAATTATTGAGTTCTTACGTATCGTCACGAGCAGTCATCACTGTTGTAATCCAGAAGAGGTTTTTGTTACCTGCCAACCGAAACGTGGTCGTCATACGCTAGAAAGAATTCCTTGCAATAACATCTATTTGCAACTAGTGATTGATCCGATTCTCTAGGCGGTCGAATATCTTAGACAATGACTAAATTTATTTAAAAAGCACCGCTGGATTTTCTATTTTAGCACCTGCATGCTACGCGAGCCGAGGTAGAAACAATTCTGTTCATCACTGAGCATTTCATTTGTTTCTTAAAACGTTTATAGAACTTTTAAAAAAAAATCCGGTCCACTAGTAGAGTATGCGGCCATGAAAAATGTTAGTGTTTTCAATGTCCAATTTTCTTTTTTTAAACTTCTTTTTGTTACCTATTCTTTCTTCATGGTAAGGTGTGATGTGAAATACAACCACAGTGATACTGAGATATGAGCAAATCACGGAGCCTAAGGTGCGCTTCGAACTCTCGATTACCCCACTCGCTAGCTCATGTGTTATCCACCGCACCATCCGAGGTCGTTACTTTGCCTTTTTCTCAGCCAGTTTTTTATTCCATCGGTACTGTCAACATTCACCCTTCAAATAAAAGTTGAAAGGTTATAATTTCGACTGCAGCTTCAGCTTAACTAGGTTCAACGTTGAATTGTGCTAGTCAGATCTTCCCCATAAACGAATGATTGCTAATGGCGGCGTTAGAGTAAAAAATTTGCGGAGAGAAATGCAAGGTAAGGGGTCTCGGTTGGTGTGGTGGATAGCACGCCGAGCCCCCTGAAGGAGTAATCGCGTGTTCGAAGTCCATCTGTGGTTCTGAGTTTTCTTTACGTCTCAGTATCATTGCGATTAAATTATTTTTTTTAAATTTCCATGTCTGCATCGTAAAATCATTATATTATTGCATGACTTTGTCTATAGGAAAGCATCATCGAATAAATGTTACATAATTGCTTAATTAATTTTAGAGATTCCCAGCGATCCAAGATGTCAAATCACCGCAGTGTTCTGGAATTTTATGTTTCTATCTGAAAATTCGTATGAATGTGTGTAAGATATAGATAAGGATCAATGGGATGACTAGTTACAGGACAATGGACTTAGTAGCACAACATTTCTTAGAACCGGTCAGACTTGATCAACACTATAGCAGTAGGTTTTTCTTTATGTTTCACAACCATCCACGGAACTCTATTATAGAGGCATCACTTACCGGTTAGCCGCGAGGCAGCGTGGCAGGTTCCCATATGGAGGATAGGGGGTTAATTGCTGACCAAAAGCGGCATTTACTTTCCTGAAACGCAGGTGGATAAAGGAGATGGACTACCTGTCTCTGCTGCATCCATTTCGCACACACACTCTCGTTTATGTGTTTTGTATTCTACAAGTCAGTTCGGCCAAAAGCCTGCAATCAACTGACAGTTAAAGATATGGGAGGCGGTTAGGAGTCGCCTCCAACAAATAAGCTCCGTGTCTACTTCGGAAGAGATTGGCAAACTACCCATGAATATAACCAGCTCCTACGTTCAGGGCTCACCAAGGTATACGTAAATATCAAAAGCTGAAAAAAAAACGAAATAAACGGGCTTCATTCCCCTGACACCGAAAGAGTCCCCGATTCAGCAGCATTTGGTAGGAAGAGTACGGAGTGGGTGCTCAAATCTCACGGCCAATGGAAGCTGCCTAGATTTCAAAGAACTGTGGTGACGATCTGTACTTACAATGCACTTACACTTGCATCCGAGTCCTCGATAGAAGACTTGCTCATGCAAGCAAGAAGGATAAGGTACGACGTCATCGGACTGGTTGAGACGCGATCCGCTAGCTGGTCTTCCGCTTAGTGCAAACCTTGCATTCAGATAGGTAACGTGAGAAGAGCCGAGCCAGTGTGTTTATGATGATTAGCGGAAGGTTCTTTAGGTATTCTGGTCTTATCCTGTCCGGACCTGGTGCTGTTTGATTTTTCAACGACGATATAGCATGCCAGATTTCAGAAGGGAAAGCCGGTGGTACGACATATCTATCCTCCTTTACTTCGTATGAAGACAGGCGGACGTGGCTACTGAAGAGATCCGAGTAGTAATCTTGCATGATTTTCTCCATTGTCTTTCTTTACGATGTAACTGTTCCGGCTGGATGTCGGAGTGCAATCATCTTAGGCTTGTAATCGGTGAAGATTCGGTGGGCTTTGCGAATGCTTTCTCCAGCCTCTGAATCTTGGACCAATACTGCTGCTCTTTCTTTTTAAGACCTTCTTTTATCGTTTGTCTGCATTGTTTTGCGAGTTCGGACATTTGTTCGTGGTTGCACGCAGCTCGTGCGTTTCTACGCTAGCTTATCAGCTCGAGTGTTTCTGGGGACAAACTTCTCTTGGTAACTTTCGAACTCTCAGCTTTCGTTGCGCTAACGTGAAGATGTTGAATTAGCCGATCGTATTCTTCGTCGATGTTATCGACAACGGCATCTTCCCAATAACCGACTAATGAATTGAACAAGTCCCAGTTTACCGTGGTTCGGGGACTTCGGTTTTGGAATTTAGCGGCTTTTTCTCCATTCCGCGAAAAATAGAATTTTGCACGAAGGAGACGATGGTCTGATTCCGTGTAGAATTTTGGGACAACAGTGACATCGTTTAGGCAAAGCTTTCTATTTACTATGATGTGGTCTATGTCGTTATGGTACTCTCCATTGGGAGACTGCCATGTCCAGCGCTGAGGGTGAGGCTTCTGGAATTGCGAGTTACTGTGAACGGTCTTGGTCGCCATGGTAAACTCAGACAGACGCTCACTCTGTTCGTTCTATTCTAATCCGTGGGTCCCTATGTGACGTTCTTCAGACGTTCTTCTTGCTCCAATCTTGGCGTTCAAATCTCCAATGATGACCTTGAAGAATGTGTAGTCTTGTCTGTAGAACTTCTCCAAATCCATATAGAACACTTCGACTTCTTCTTCGTCATAGTTTGATGTGGGCGCGTAAACGACGAAGATGATCAAAGCCG